CTCAACAACGCGATTCTCGCGCCACTTCATGCAAGTAGGTGGCGATGACCGGCAATGATATTACGTTAAAATTTATTTGTGCAGTATTTCGTTGCCGTATCATGAATCGGTCACACCACATTCTGCAGTTATGCAGATGGGTGAAAGATATTAAATGCTCCTTTAATTTCCGGAGTATAAATTAACAAACGAACATTATATGTACAAATTGTATTTGAATGAACAATATTTATGTTTCTTTAATAATGATTTTTCTTCGGAAGCACATGAAAAATAAAGTTTACTGATATAATCACTAGATTACTTATAAATAATAATTTATATTTAATAACATCAAATGCATATTATGTGATTTTGTGTAACCACTTGTTAAACTCTGAGATATCGACCGAGGATTGAGGATCTTTATTAAACGCATACGATTCTGCAAAATCAATCTGCGAGTCCAAATGCGAGAATTCAAAGTGCTTTCCCTGTTTTCCAAGGAAGACACTGGTTGATGACGCGTCCATGGCTTCCAACTGGCTAGTCTTCGTCATTCGTAGCAGATTCATCTCCTTTTCTAACAGTGTTTTTATCACCGCACATCCTTTAGCCATAGTCTGATCTTGCTTATTGCACAATATAAGGATAGGGATGTTCTTCTGTATATCAGAGTCTGACAATAAATTGTACAAATACCTGTAAAGAAAAATGTAAAGAAATGTAAAGTAAAAAATGTAAAGAAAAAAAATTATAAAAAGATTTATTCAAAATTTGTATGAAACATTCTATTAAAGATTTTAAATCAATTATATCAATTTTATACTTACTCAGCCACATCTCTGATTTCTTTTTGGATAGTCACTGAATCAATCACATAAACCAGGCCTTTGGCAGACGATTTATATTTATCAAAGTACTTGCTACGCAATCGTTCATCTCCAGGGATATCCACTATTCTCAAAGAATTCTAAGCAAATACTCTTATAAGGATAATTATAATAAATAAATTATACTTCTAAATGTATGTGTATATATAAACTATATCAAAATATAACTTAAACTTACATTGTTTATTAGAATGTTTCCTACATTTTCCTTAAGAGATGTATATGTCTTAACAAATTTGGAACATAATAATCTTGCATATATCAATGTTTTTCCACTGTCGCTAAGACCCGTTAGAAGGATAATATGACCTGCAGACTTCTTCTTGCACCAGAGTGCAAATAAAACTATACAAATTATATTTTATTAAAGCATTATCATTGTATATAAGAAAATGTTTTATACAAATAAGTATTCAAACATAAAAATTAAAAACGTTTTTTCTATATTAATTTAACATTCTGTCTGCAAAGCAAAGCATACAAACTTGATTTAATTAAAAGAGAATTAAAAGAAATCGATATTTTTCATAAATTAAAAAGCAAATAGTAATAATCACGAAGATATTTAAAAACATAATAAATAAACATAGAACAATAGTAGTTTAAATTCATGAGATAAACATTGAAGCATGTTTTCAAGTTACAACACGTGTGAATGAACGTGCAATTACCTAATGTTATGATAATGGCAAACACAGCGGCCAGTATGCCCAACAACTGCGAATTGTCATTTCCTTCCAATAACGGCTTTACATATTTTTCCATATTCGTGCTTTGTGATTTCCTCGAATTTCACAATTTCCTATGAACATATGCTAATAACATGAAATCTCTTACAGGTTACACCAAAGGAACGGCTATTCCAGCTTTTTTGGGATTGTCAAAGTCCCCTGCACACTAGCGCCAATACATTCATTTTTGAATTTGTAACTACTTAGCTGTATCCGTTTTCCAACACTGCCGATAAAATCACATCCTGGTGCGTATACATGCCTACATATATAACTTAAAAATTATTTATATTAAATTAGAATGTCATAATTTTTAAAATTAAAATATTCTAAATAATAAAACAATTATAATATGGATCTTCAAATAAATTTAATACTTCATTTGTAAATTAAGTTAATATGAAGTAACAAAGAGATATATTTTTTTTTCATATAGAAATGCGCTTTTTTTACAATTTTTTTTTACATAAGTGAATTTTTAATTTAAGAAAAAAATTAATAATTAAAATAAGTTAAAGTTTTAAATCTTTTAATTCATTTAAAATTAACTAAGTTATATTAAAAGTTATTAATTTTAAGTTAGTCAACTTTATTAGTTAACTATGAGTTTGTCGGATTTATACGTATCTAAAAAAAATTTGTTAAATATTCCGAGAGCGGAAATGACTCGTATTTATTAATCTTGCTTATTTTGCTTATTTTTTTGAAGTTATAATTCATGATATTTTGCAAACGATAATTTCTCCGATGGGCATTGCTTTGATATGCCATAAAGGTTATATATTCTTAAAGAGCTTTTTTTAGTAATTCAAATACCTTTAACGTTGAGCATAAATTCTCTTGAAATTCGCTTTTTCATTTTAAAATCCCATTGATTTAAATTTTAATTTGCATACTGTGCATTTTGTGATATATATAGTTAGTTTATTGTAACAATCTGTTATTGTAATATAAATAAAATTCATAATATATCTATATATCTATTTTAAATAAATTATAACGAATTCACTAAGAGTGCGTTCGCTTTGGATGCTCACGCACTATAAGTATTATTCTATCTTTATTATTCATTACACGCTAAAGGAAAATAGAACGATAGATGCTTACAACATTTGAATACTCAAACAAACACACTCTAAACGAAATAGCAAATGTATGATAACAAACCATTTAGAAGATATTTAAACTGAAACAATTATATTATTTAATGTTATCCGAAAAATGCTGTAACGCCTCGTGAAAGTTAAATTTTGTATACGTAATATTATTGTATTTTGTATTACGTATTTTGTATTACGTATTTTGTATTTGTATTTTGTATTAATATTGTTGGATATTTCGTAGTCACACTACTATCGTGTTGTAACCTTGAATTGTGTTTACACATCGCGGCTGGTATGTCATGTGCGCGAATAGCGCGCGTCACGTGTTTACGAGCGCGTCACGTGTTTACGAGCGCGCCGCGCGCTACCATTCATTCACCGGTATCCGTACGGGCAGATAGCAAAACACGGCGCTCCGCATTTCTTTGCATTTCTTCAATGTTAAATGATACGAAACATTGTTCTATTTTATGAATAACATAATAATTGCTTATTGACGACATGATTAACGATTCGTAAACATATCGAAGTAATGATTCTCTAAGTATACACATATTTCGCGCTAGTTAATTCTTTGATAATTCATTGACATGACTTTTCGTAAATGTTAACCCCTCAAATGGATACGGCCTTGACGTGGCAGAGGGGCTCAGTATTCCGAGGGGTTCCGTTGACTTTCCCAACGGAATTCCCAAAGACGAAGAAGCTAACAGTATCCGTTGCACTGTTATTAATAACATTAATATTAACGTTAGGTAATATTATTGTTATTAATAATATACTAATACAGCATAGCCACGAGTCGTAAAATGGCTCTTATGTGGCAACTTGATTAATGCATTTCACGCATTAATCGTCGGTTTTTGAACCGACATTCCGCCGCCGATTTAATTGTGAATGAACGAACTGCAGCCAGTTCGTCGCGTCGCGCGTTTGCTTCGGGAGTGCCGTACAAGTGATCGGATTAACAGACTTTTTCTCGCCCTGCGAGGGCTCGTTTGACAAATATCATAGTTCGAGCCGGGAGTCGCACTGTCAAGGAGTGCAGGGAGCGCGGGATCTCATTGAGGCGTAGTCGGCTACGTCCTCACGCCACGTGCGCCGCGGCACTGGTGATGCCGGCTGTGAATGTTACACGCACTCGCTACCGCTTGATGTGTTGTGTTTCGCACAGTTGCAAATTGCATTAAACGGCTGATTGAGAACACGCTCTGTCTTCGACAAGTGGTTCGGTCTCAATCGGCAAGATTTCAATCGGCTGACTTGTTTTCGTCGCTTCTCTTGATCTCTTATTTTCGACACAGCATTGCCACGAGTCGTGAAAGGGTTCCTATGTGGCGCGTGCGTTTCACACACTGATTCACGCGATTATTTAATCGCCAACGATTCTTTTTTTATTCTTTATTTTCCCGTCCTTAATAAGTCCTAAACAAATCGCGACTTTAATCTGACTCGATTAGAGCTTAGTTCGGGCGGTTATTGCGTGTGCCGAGAAGCTGGATCCCAGTTGCCCGATTGTCTAGATTGTTAGGCATCGGCGATGGGTACCTTCTCTCTCGTCACATCTACCAGCCTTCTCGATAGCCCGGGTGACGTTTGATATCACGTGTATGATATCCGCCCTGGTGATTCGACCTGAACCGTTGGCTATGTGATGGTTGAGTCAATTTTAAACGTGATTTCTAAGAAACAAGAGACGTCGGATTCAAGTCAGTCGATTCGTTTTCTTCCGCTTCGGCCCTAGCTCTTGCTTGAGGAGTTACCGTGTGTCCCGAAAAGTTCACCGACTCGGGTGCTGACTGGATCGACGGAACTTGATATTTTCACGGGCAGCAAAAATTAGTCCGCGCGCGATATAATAATTCGCGAGTATTTTTCGCGAGTGTCCTGTGCTGCGAGGACATCCGACGACCCGACACCTTGAGAGGAGGAGGAGGCCTAAGAGAGACATCGGGCACCGGCGGAGCAACCTTGGGGTAAGTATATTTTCCTTGTCATTAAACTAATTGTTTTCTCATTTGTTTGAATCATTAAATTTCAATAATTTAAAATTTATAGTTAAGGAAAGAAAAATAATTTAAAGTTTAATATGAATTTATTTCTATAAAGATCTTTTTGAAAATTATTTATTCATTATTAATTATTTTAATAAATATTTACGTGAAAAACAAGTAGATTCGGCATATGTAAAAAATTTTTAAAATCTATCATTTTAAGAGCGTTACTATAATTTTTGCATCTGTTTGTGTGTTACAGAATCATCGTAGCTACGTTGCAGATTAACTCCGCTGTTGCGCATCGGGTCGGTGAGTGACAAATTTTTTTAATTGGGGTAACAAATCTATGAAACTTATATCAGAATATTTTTA